ACCAGTGTTTCCAAGCATTTGTTTTAAACCAGGGAACAGCAGCTTTCCAGGGAACTTCCAGGCTTCTACTGCCAGTTTGGGGCTGGTGAGATATTAATTGTTGTCACTCCAGACCCCATGCCTAGTAAGGCAGCCAATTGTGGAACTACACTGGCTGCTCAGGAACTCATCCTCAAGGTTGTAGTAACTACTGTGTTCTCAGCTCTTAGGTGTTACTGTTGTTACAGGCTTAAAACTGAGTTGATAATTTGACTGACATTTAATTCAATAGGTGGTACTTTGGAGACATTTAAATATGTTCTAGATATCCCCCCAGTCAGTAGCTTAAAATTTAGTTCTCATTATCAAAAACATTATATGTAAGAGCAAAAAAATTGTAAGTGCATTGTCTACAAGTCTTGGTGAAAATAGTAATAACAATCCATGGTACCTAAGTATAAAATGGTGAAACAAAAAATAATCAGCAAAAAGTTTATCCCTTCTTAATAGGGAAGTACATTTCTTCCATCTTTTCTGATTCTTGTCAATGTGCGGTTACAATTTTCCAAATTAAAAATTCTAATAAAACTCAAGGAATTTGAACAATGCACAATTGCACTATCCATGGGTAAAGGAAGAAATAAAAAAAAGAAATTAAAGACTTCCTGGAATTCAATGAGAATGAAGACACAACATACACAAACTCATGGGACACATTGAAAGCAGTGCTGAGAGGAAAGTTCATAGCACTAAGTGCCCACTTGAAGAAACTGGAGAACTGTCATACTAGAGAATTAATAGCACAGCTGAACGTTCTAGAACAAAAAGAAGCAAACTCACCCAGGAGGCGCAAATGCCAGGAAATAATCAAATTGAGGGCTGAAATCAATCAAGTAGAAACCAGGAAAACATTGAGAAGAATCAATGAAACAAAGAGTTGGTTCTTTGAGAAAATCAACAAAATAGACAAACTTCTGTCCAAACTAACCAAAAGATAGAGAGAGAGCATGCTAATTAACAAAATCAGAAATGATAAAGGGGACTAACAATGGACTCTGAGGAAATCCAGAGAATCATCAGGGCATACTTTGAAAATCTGTACTCCACAAAATTTGAAAATTTAAAGGAAATGGACAATTTCCTGGATAGATATCACTGGCCAAAACAAAATCAAGAGCAGATAAACAATCTAAACAGACCTATAACCCTTAATGAAATAGAAGCAGTCATCAAAAGTCTCCCAAACAAAAAAAGCCCAGGCCCAGACGGCTTCAGTGCAGAATTCTACCAGAAATTCAAAGAAGAGCTAATTCCAATACTCCTCAAAGTATTCCACACAATAGAAGCAGGAGGCTCACTGCCAAACTCTTTTTATGAGGCTACAATTACCTTGATACCCAAGCCACACAAAGACACAACTAAGAAAGAGAACTATAGACCAATTTCCCTCATGAACATCGATGCAAAAATACTCAATAAAATACTAGCAAACCGGATTCAAGAACACATCAGAAAAATCATCCACCATGATCAAGTAGGCTTCATTCCAGGAATGCAGGGATGGTTCAACATTAGAAAATCTATCAATGTAATCCACCATATAAACAAACTGCAAAAGAAAAACCACATGATCATCTCACTAGATGCTGAAAAAGCCTTTGACAAAATCCAGCACCCCTTCATGATAAAGGTCCTAGAGAGATCAGGGATAACAGGAACATACCTGATTATAATAAAAGCAATATACAGTATACCAACAGCTAACATCAAACTAAATGGAGAGAAACTCAAAGCAATTCCTCTAAAATCAGGAACAAGACAAGGCTGTCCACTCTCTCCATATCTCTTCAATATTGTACTGGAAGTTCTAGCTACAGCAATAAGACAACAAAAGGAGATCAAGGGGATACAAATAGGAAAAGAAGAAGTCAAACTTTCACTATTTGCAGATGATATGATAGTTTACATAAGTGACCCGAAAAACTCCACAAGGGAACTCCTCGAGCTGATAAATACCTTCAGCAAAGTGGCAGGATACAAGGTAAACTCAAAAAAATCAGTGGCCCTATTATATACAGATGATGAAGAGACTGAGAAAGAAATCAGAGAAACCTTACCCTTTACAATAGCCATAAACAGCATCAAATATCTGGGGATAATGTTAACCAAGGAAGTGAAAGACCTGTATATCAAGAACTTTGAGTCTTTAAAGAAAGAAATCAAAGACGGTACCATAAAATGCAAAGATCTCCCATGCTCTTGGATTGGTAGGATCAACATAATAAAAATGGCAATCTTGACAAAAGCAGTCTACAGAGTCAATGCAATCACTATCAAAATTCAGGCACAATTCTTCACAGACCTGGAAAGAACATTAATCAACTTTATATGGAAAAACAAAAGGCCCAGGATAGCCAAAACAACCCTATACAATAAAGGAACTTCAGGAGGCATCACCATACCTGACTTGAAGCTCTATTATAGAGCTATAATCCTGAAAACAGCTTGGTATCGGCACAAAAATAGGCAGGTAGACCAATGGAATCAATTGAAAACCCTGATTTTAACCCACACACTTATGAACACTTGATTTTTGACAAAGAAGCTAAAACTATACAATGGAAAAAAGAAAGCATCTTCAACAAATGGTGCTGGCATAACTGGGCACTGGTACTACAGAAGACTGCAGATAGATCCATGTTTATCACCTTGTACAAAACTTAAGTCCAAATGGATCAACGATCTCAACATAAATCCAGCCACACTGAAACTTTTAGAAGTGGGAGATACTCTTCAACGAGTTGGTACAGGAGACCACTTCCTGAACATAACACCAGTGGCACAGACACTGAGATTGACAATTAACAAATGGGACCTCCTGAAACTAAAAAGGTTCTGTAAGGCAAAGGACACAGTCAACAAGACAAAAAAGCAGTCCACAGAATGGGACATCTGACAGAGGGCTTATCTCCAAAATTTACAAAGAACTCAAGAAGCAAGTCTCTAAAACACCAAAGGATCCAATTAAAAGGTGGGGTACAGAACTAAATAGAGAATTCTCAATAGAGGAGGCTAAAATAGCCAAGAGACACTTAAGAAAGTGCTCAACATCCTTAGCCATCAGGGAAATGCAAATCAAAACAGCTTTGAGATACCATCTTACTCCTGTCAGGATGGCTAAAATCAAAAACACCGAAGACAATTTATGCTGGAGAGGATGTGGAGAGAGGGGCACACTCCTCCACTGCTGGTGGGAGTGCCAACTCGTACAGCTACTTTGGAAATCAGTATGGAGATTCCTCAGGAAAATGGGAATCAGTCTACCACAAGACCCAGCAATTCTACTCTCACGCATATACCCAAAAAATGCAAATTCATACAACAAGGACATCTGTTCCACTATGTTCATAGCAGCATTATTTGTAATAGCCTGAACCTTGAAGAAACCTAGATGCCCCTCAACTGAAGAGTGGATAGAGAAAATGTGATACATTTACACAATGGAGTATTACTCAGCAGAAAAAAACAATGGAATCTTGAAATTCGCAGGTAAATGGATAGCACTGGAAGAAACCATCCTGAGTGAGGTAACCCAGTCACAAAAAGACAAACATGGTTTGTACTCACTCATATATGGATTTTAGACATGGTTCAGGAGAGTGCCAGTCTGCATTTCCAATGACAGGGAGTCTGGGAAACAGGAAAGAACATAAAAAATATGCATGGTACCCAAGAGAAGAAAAATGAAGTAAGATCCTCTAAACAGATGGGGAACAAGGCAAGGGGTGTGGGGGAGGGGTAGTTGGCAAATAGAGAGGGGCAGAAGAAGAAGAGAGAGTAGGTCATGGGGGATCAGGCAGTTGAGTAGGTGGGGGTAGGATAGGGGGAAGAGGGAATCATAGGTTAGAAGACAGATCAGGCACCATTGTGACCTCTAGTGATCTAAAGGGATGACACCAATTGGCTAGCTAAGCAATAGTGTAGAGACCACCCAGGATGCCCATTCCTGATAATGAACTTGATGTCTATGACCATCCTGGAGCCTTCATCCAGTGACTGATGGAATCGGAAACAAACACCCACAGTTAAACACTGAACTGAACCCTATGAACCCAGTGACAAAGAGAGAGGAGCGATGAGCATATTGGTAGAGAATGGGCTGGCAAAAACAGCAGAGACCGCGATCTGAACAGAGGAGAGCTCTTGGACCCCAGACCGACAGCTGGGAGGCCAGCATGGGACTGATCCAGACCCCCTGAATGTGAGAGTCAGTGAGGAGCCCTGGGCAACCAATGGGGCCCTGAGCAGTGGATCAGTGTTTATTCCTCGAATACTGATGGACATCGTGTGTCCATGACACGGGGAGGGATACTCTCTCAGCTTGGACTCTTGGGGGGAGTGCCTGGGCCCTACCCTTAGTGAAGTGATGGACTCTGGATGTTCCCTGTGTGGAAGGAGTTGGCAGTAGGGTGGGGGGAGGAAGGATGGGGGGGGGATGCGGGAGGAGGGGAGGGAGAGGGAGCTGGAATTGACATGTAAAAGAAGCTATTTAAAATTAAAAGAAAAAGAAGAAAATTCTAATATTCTCCCCCACATTCTTGAATCAGCAGAATTTGAAGATTTATTGTGTGAAGAGAAATGTGTTTCTTGATTCCAAAAAACATTTTTTAAATTTTTTTGTCCATTGGTGTTTTGCCTGCATTCATGTCTACATGAGGGTGTTGGATCACATGGAATGGAGTTATAGACAGTGATGAGCTGCCATGTGCGTGCTTGGAAATGAACCCCCGTCCTCTGGAAGGACAGCCTGTACTCTTAACCACTGAGCCACTCCTCCAAAATATTTGATCCAAACTTTAATCTTAGCGAATGAATAAAAAAAACGTCCACTACAAAGAACTCTCTGTAGAGATTTTTCTACATCACAAAGCATCCTGTTTATGCTTTTAGTGCACAGTATCAATGCTAACTGGGACCTGCACTAAATTAATTTTGAGATTTGAAGTCATTCACTAATCTCATTACAATTTACCCAGGCATAGTTTATTCACCTTGATCCTTATAAAGTTTACCATTCAATGATTCACATACAGAAACATATCACTATTGATACAAAAGTATGCCTATTGCTTAATGAACTTTTATGTTTGTTATAAAACATTAGAATTCTATTCTTCATTTATATCCCAGATAAACTTCAAGGGAATTTTTTTCATGTTCCTCTCGAATATCATGTCAAATCTTTCATTCTGCTCCACAGTCAAATGACGTTTCCAGTCTCCAATGGTACCTAATAAGAGAAGCACAGGGACAGCACTCAGGCAAGTGAATGAAGATGGCAACGAGGGTCACTCTAAGCAGCTTCCCTATCCTCTCCAACCCATTGAAAGTAAATGTGAGTGCTCTGTGGAGTTTGTCACCTCACCTTTCTTTATAGGAGAATGAGCAGGGAAGGAAACCTATGCAATAACAAAATAAATACAGGTTCACTATCCCATGTGTTAATCCACCAACTATAACCAACCTTTAGGAAGAAAAAATACCTTAACAAATATGAATACATGAGAATTTTTGAAGTGCAATTTAGTATATGTAAAGCATCATACAAACCAACAATACTGATTGATAAAATGTAACATATATCCCAAGGCTGTAGTTTCATATCCTCATGGTTCAGTCTTCTATTCTGTCCAGTTGGGGTGTGTGTTTAATTTTATGTCAGTACCGTAAGGTTTTTATCATTATCACTCTATAATATATTTTGAAATCTGGAATGGAAATCCCTACAATATTATTCTTTCATGCCATGATTTCTTTGGCTATCCAGGGTATTTACTGGTTACATATGAATTTTTGGATGTCCTTTGTTATATTTCTGAAAACTATGTTTCGGTATTTTGATTGTGGTTGTAATGGATCTACAAATTGCTTTTGGTAAAATACTCATTCTTTCTTGGTATATTAAATCTACCAACCCATGAACACAGGAGGTCTTTCCATTATCTAATGTCTTACTCAAACTCTTCACAGATTTAAATTTTTCATTGCAGAGGTCTTTCACCTCCTTGGTGAGTTTTATTCCAGGATAGCTTATTTCTTTTAAAGCTCCTGGAAATGGGATTATGTCCAGAATCTCTTTCCTAGCATGTTTGTTGTTCCTGAATAATAAGGCTACAGATTTTTGAGTTTGTTTTGTATCCTAGAACTCTGTTTAAATTGTTGTTTCTACAGACTTTCTGGTGGAATTTTGGGATTCTTTTATTTATAATATGTGATATTTAAATAGGTATATTTTGGCTTCTTTTTTCCTGTCTGTCTCTTGAATTTCCTTTTTTTTTTTGCCTTATTGCCTTAACCAGTGCTTCAGGCACTTTGAAAAAAAACAGTGGCTATAGAGGACAGCTTGTCTCATTCCTGGTTTTCATGAGCTAGCTTTACATTTTTCTTAATTTAGGATAATGTTGGCTGTGGGATTGTCATATACAGTCTTATTATGTTAAGGTATGTTCCTTATCTGAGTCTCTAATACTTTTATGGTGAAAATATGCTAGATTCTGTGAAAGGCTTATGTGATTATTGTCTCTAAGTACATTTACATGATTCATTACATTAATGGACTTTCATATGTTGAATCAGTTCCACATTCCTGGGATAAATATAACAATTTGTAAGGTCATGGATTTTATTTTATTTTCTGCTTTTTGAGTTCTTTCATACTGGGTTTCTCTGTATAGTTCTGGTTGTCTTGGAACTTGTTTTGCAGAGCGTGCTAGTTGTGCTCTGAAAGATTCACCTCCCTGTGCCTCCAGAGTGCTGAGATTAGAGGCAACTGACATCATGCCCAGAAAGTCATGGTTTTAAGAAAAGAACTTACTACAATCAGCTTAATAGATGGGAATGGTTCCTACCTCCATTCTAAAACGTATCCCTATACCACAGGTAAGTGTAGCTCTTAACCTTCATCAAAGAAATTTCTCTGCATAATCAACAGAAAATCCTAAGTCTCCGTAATGCAGATATCAATGGCTCCTGTTGAGTTCAGTACCAATGAACACTCCTATAACAGGAGTCCTGTACCTAAAACTCAGGGACATTGTGGAAGAGACGACAGACTTTTTAAAAGTGATATTATGCCTCCTAGAAATGGCTGAGAAGCTATACTCATGGTATCTCTATAACATTGCTGCCTAAGCAAGACCTGAACAACAATATTATCATAAGAATGCTAACAAGGAAAGAAGAAATTTCAATGGTCCCACCCTTAGACAATGAAGAGACAAGTGATGACTGCTGAGAGGAGCATTTACCACTCCAAGGGATGAGTCACTAATAGGTTAACCAATACAAAGAGGCTAGCCCTGAAACCATACACCATACAGATTGTGTTTATACATTGACATATATAATGAAAAGAATCAAAATAAGCCCATCACTCTAAGAGGGAGTGAGGGGAGCTTATGGGATAGGCTGGAGAGAGGAGGCATGCAAAGGGTAAGAATAAGGACAGGGAAGGAGGCAAGTGATACAGTATTTTGATTAAAATTGCTAATAAAAAATTAAAGAATATGTAAAGGCCAGAAAAAAGTAATTGCATAGTGTCCATAATTGGGGAACTTCTAAAAAGTATTTTGTTATTTATTCCAAATGTATGTCTCATATGTGTAACATACAATTCAAAGTTGTGAATTTCTCCATTTTCTCTGAAAATATAACCTCCTTGCCTTTGGAAGGAAGCAAACTAATATAGGAATGAGAATTAGTGAGCATTAGTCTAGTTGGAAAATATGAAGAAAAGATATGTTAAATGGGAGTGAGAGATAAAAGGAACACTTTTGCAAATTATTAAAATCTACATCTATTTCAACAAAACACTTAAAAATTGTTTATAGTCAGTGGCCATCATTATATGATGGGAAGTGATGAATTAGTAAAAGTAATCAAAATATATGTCAAATTATGCCTTAGAATGTTACATTAAATGATGTAGTAAATTAAAATTTTGACTTGTGAGCTTAAGGAGTATCAATTTAGGGGAGGTCATTCTCTCTTAAGAACTGCTGACACAGTTAGATCACAATACCAACATATGGTTGTTTATGCCTGGTTTCCCACCACCAGGGAGACAGAGGCAGGACTAGGGTTTAGAAGTAATCATGAGTTACACACAGCAAGCTCAAAACCAGCCTGAGACCCACAAATGAGACCCTGTCTCAAAAATGAAAATAAAATCTCAATGGTTGATACATAAGTTAATCACAGAAGATAGGGAATAAGAGACAACTGTAATTATTGTAATGGAGGAAAATGGTACATGAGGAATGAGCAATTAAACCCCCTGCACTTCCAATATATAGTATGTTTTAAACAGAAGTAAAATTAAAGTTCTTCTGGACTAACCAAGAGAGTTGCCTCAAGTCTATTCCCAGCACTTGCAAGCAACAAGCAGGAGGAAGTCAAGTTCTAGCCCAGTCTGAACTCCACAGTGTCTAGGATGCCAGCCTGGACCAAGAAGCATGACTTTCTTTCAAAATAGAATTTAGAATTGTCTCTTCTAAAATATCCATTGCCCAGGCCAAGGCTACTGACATGTCTTAGAAGAGTTGAGTCATATGAACTATAAAGAAGGAAAGTCAAAGTTATTAAATAAGTAAAACTATTGTTTTTTACTAAAATACTATTTTAGTTCTCTGTCCATTAAGATTTTTTATGTTCTCTAGGTTCCCGGAGACACACTTTGGAAACACAGTCCTAGTGCTCCAAAGGAAGAGATTTGGGGAACTCTCGGTACTTTGATGACTACACACCAATAAGTCTCACCTTTACGCAGAAAAGAGCCTTTGTTTCTTGCCCCAATTTCATTTTGCATAACATTATTGTAATTTGCTCGTGGGTCACGTTTCATGTTCTGAAATGCAGCTTGTTTCACCACAACATCCATATCGTCTTCACTCAGCTCTTTCTCCAGAAAGCTGCAGATTTTAAGCACTGAGCTTCTAAGGTCCTGAAAAAGTCATGGGTTGAGAAATTGTTGATGGAAGTGTGAGTTGTAGCCAACCATGTGACATGAGCATGTAGGATTACTTTTTGGAATGCAAAGAGGTCTCAACAAAAGCAAAAGGAAAAAAATCAATTAGTATGATTATTTCAATTGATAAAGAAAAAAAATCCTAAGTAAAACTTAACACGCAGCAGTAGGAAGTACTTCAAATACAAAAGGCTACATGTAAACACCTACACATAAAAATCATACTTAACAGGAGAACACATAAAGATTGTCAGGTTGGGAATCACTCAAACATTCCTACCTCTCTTTACCCCAATCCTGGAAATAAACAAAGAAGGGAACAATTGGTCAATAAAAGGAAAAGAGAATTGCAAACTGGAAGCATGCAAAGCAGATCCTGTGGTTTTCAGTGCAGAAAATACTAACAAATAACTGTGATGTTGCACTATGGAGTTGTATACAAAATCAAAACTATAAAAATACCAGGTGAGTTTCTGAATATTAATAAGGAAACTGCATCACTAACAGCAAAAATTCCAGCATTAAAGTTAATAAGGGCTGTGAGACTAGCCTATTGAAACCATCCAGCATTACTGAAAGAAACACAAGATAACAAGTAGTCAGTTGTCTAATATATAAGAATTGCAAAACAGTAATTTTAAGATAATACCCAAAACAATCTGTATTCAATGAATTTCTTAAGATTGCAGTTTTAAAAATATAAAAACCCATTGCAAAATTTGTTTCAAAAGATACTGAATGGGCAAATCACCTTGAAAGGACAGGGTAAGTCTTTAGTATCCGTACTTTCCAGATATCAAAAGTTAGTAAAAAATCATGGAACCCAAAATACTATAGTAATTCTATAAATACCTGAATTCTATAAATTCAATAGAGCATGTGACACAAATTTTTTTCTGGAATCCCGTGACTCATTTTAATGAACTGTCATGATTTGTATAAATGAGTCTGCATTAAATTACTGTCATTTGTAAAGTGAAGACAGAGAAAAGGGATCATATGAGCAAGTGAGGTCAAGATCATGATGGGGTAAACCACAGAAATGACTGACCCCAAAGAGTAGGTGCTGACACACTCTGGACTGATAGCTGGGGATTTTGCATGGGACTGAATTAGGTACTCTGAATGTGCCTTCATCTTTTTTGGGGGGAGGGTGTGACTGGCAGTGGCACCAGGACCTACCCCAGGTGCAGGAACTGGATTTTTAGATCCCAATCTCTATGATGGGATACCTTGCGAAGTCTTGATATGGGCAGGGTGGGGCTTGGTCCTGACTCAACTTGGTAGGCCACACTTTGTTGGCCCCCCAAGCAAGGTCTTACCCCCTCTGAGGAGTGAGGAATGGATGGAAGGGTAAGATGGGGACAGGTTTTAGGTGGGGGCAATCAGAGAATGGGAGGGAGAACTGGGATTGGTATGTAAAATGAAAAAAATAGTAAAAACTAAAGAAAAGACAGAACAAACAAACAAACAAAAAAAAAAAACAGTCAAAGTGGTAATGTCAGTCAGGTCACAGAAGGGAGAAGTCCTGTTTGTTAGACTTAAGTCCTGTCAATGTACCGGGACATTTTTGGTGCTTTATTTTAATTAAAAGCACTTATAAAAGCTCAAAAATTGATAAAAAGACATATAGTAAAATTTTAAATATAACATTATGATTTCCACTTTTATGAAATAATCACCAATGGACAAAAAAGTTCAGAGAGACCCTGAGAAAATATTAGAGGCTGATCTCTATGCCTCATTTTCAACCCTATATGGGCCATCCAAATTAAAAATGAACATAGAAAAGTCAGAAGGAATCCCAAGAGGGAGAAGAGAGCCCTGAGGCAGACCAGTCAATGAAGGAGAGGTTGGATGTCAGGAACTTCTTTCTACACAAAGCCCATAAAGGAGGAATGAGTTATGAGGACAACTGGGAGTGTGTGGTTTAACTCAGAGATGAGAAATAGTTTTCAAAACAACTTTCTCGTCTTACCTTCTTCATGTCTTCATAGCTCAAGAACATAATGTTGAAGTCATGTCTGTGTTCATACCAGCCTCTAATATGATCAAACCAACAGCTTCCTAAAACTGCAGGGAAAATAACTGAGTAGCAAAGTCAAGGGACTATACTTGCTGAACAGCAAACTCTGTTCTTACTTTTCTAGATTAGGCTATTCAGAAATAAAAATGAAGCCCCTACAATTGGATGTCCACATGACTATTTCAAAGGAGTTATTTTTGTGTAACAATTATGCAAGGCTCATACCAATCTACCTATGTAGGGATGTAGCAGGACAGACATTGAGATATTGGGAAATTCTGGTGTCAGGGGCTGGAGAGACTCTCAGTGGTTAGAGCCCTGGCTGCTCTTGCGGAGGGCATGAGTGAAGTTCTCTGCATGCACATGGTGGCTCAGAAACCATCTGTAACTTCAGTTCCAGGGAAACTGATGCCCTCTTCTGACATCTGCAATCACTGCACACAGGTGGTGCACATACATACATCCAGGCAAAATACTCATAAAACAAAATGAATCAATCTAAAGTCTTTTCTTAAAGTTCAACCTTCTGAATTCAAATACACCCTTGAGGGATATTCATATTTTTCCTCTCCCTGAAGACATAGGCCTTCATTTCTTCCATCTCATTTTTGAACAGCAGTGTTTACTTGCTACAGAGACAGAACCTGAATATAATATTAGCAATGTATGAGATCCTAATTTCACACCCCACAGTCTCTTTCATTGATAAGTTTTCCTCAGTAGCAGCATGAGTAATTCCATTTTCCCAACAAGTGTGTTCCATTAAGAGCATATATTTGCCCTCAACTTCAGCTGTATGTCATTATCTAGAATGAATGGATAAAATACATATAAATCATTTATGGTTTACCCAAAGTACGTCCTATATAATGTAGCACTGCCAGTCGAGAACCCTCAAATGGTCCTGACAATGGCAGAACAATCACTATGCATTAGATGCCACTGATACAAAATTATTACTATTCTTTCTATGCATTCCCCTGCCTCCTCCATCACTTAGATATATGTTCCCTACTTTGAAATGGCTTATATATCATCTGTATTTTATTTTTAAAAGGGTGTGTTTAACTGTGTGTTTGCCTCTGCTTCCATCAGCCATTGGATGAAGGCTCCCAGATGGAACACTGAACTAAACCCAAGGAACCCAGTGGCAGAGAGAGAGGAGTGATGAGCAAATTGGCAAAGAATGGGCTGGCAAAAACAGCAGAGACAGCTGATCTGAACAGGGGAGAGATCTTGGACCCCAGACTGAAAGCGGGGAGGCTAACATGGGACTGATCTGGACCCCCCCAAATGTGAGTGTCAGTGAGAAGGCCTGGGCAACCTAAGGGGCCTTGAGCAGTGGATCAGTGTCTATCCCTGGAATACAAACAGTCATTGTGTGCCCATAGCACAAAGAGGGATGCTCTCTCAGCCTGGACTCTTAGGGGAATGCCTAGACCCTACCCGGAGTGAAATGACAGACTCTAGATATCCCCTATGTGGAAGGAATTGGCAATAGGGTGGGAGGCTGGGGGGGAAGGGGAGTGCGGGAGGAGGGGAGGAAGAGGGAACTGGGATTGACATGTAAAACAAGCTATTTAAAATTAAAATAAAAAATGATATTAAAAAAAGGGTGTAGAGAAGAAACAAATGTAGTTACCTTTTCCATCTAGAAATTTTTCCAGATAATGTTCAATGGTATCTGTAGCTTCTAAGGTAACCACCCAATTTGAAAAATGAAAAAATGAGGTCAAAACATCTTTGGGATTTCTGTAAATATAAAGAATCTGCAGAAAAACACAAAGTTGTTTTAGCAATTCTTGGTCATTCTAGTATGTTCTGAATTTATTAGAATTAGTTCTGAGTTTATATAATAATACTTGTCCAAATAAATCTTTATTTTAATCTAGATAGTTGGCTATTAACTTTTTGTTGCATGCTATAAAAGTGAATATTTCCATCTACATAGTATTTCATATATGTACAAAAACATATGTCAGTGTTACAGAAATATATTTTTGTACATCTAATAAATATGGCAAACATGTTTTCCATATGGCTTAATGCTATAGCACTTGGTATTCATTGAGTTTTCTGAGATAGTTTATATATAGCCAAGGTAGCACTTGAAATAAGTGGAAAGTATAAGAACCAACTCTTATGTTGGCACAAGCATTAATGGTACACACATGTAATTTAAAAAGAAATTTCTCTCTACTTGTGTGCATAATAACTATCAAGTTTATTAAGACTGTTAGGCCCAAAACAAGTATATTTCTAGTCATGAAACAAGGACGTATTTTTTAAAGTATTTTAAAATGAGGTATTGTTGGGTATTAGGTTTTTGTTTGTTTTTTGAGGAAGAAATCAAAGTTGGGTGTAGGGATTGGGGAGAGGATCTGGAAGGACTTGGGAAAGGAGAATATGCTCAAAAATATTTAAATTTAAAATTGTTGTAAATAATAATACAATAAAATAAAAATAAGCAAATAATGAATTTATATTATTAAATGTCAGTATGTTTGATTATACTAAAATTAAGAATGTTACTAATCAAATAAATACAAAGTTCCAAAACAAGAGAAAAGCCGCAAGTATAAGTAGAACTGTATGCAGAAGTGACAGAATTCATAGCAGGAGGAAAATTTTACTAAAATTATGGCAGTGAAAAGCTGGACCAATGGTAGAATCTTTTCACAGAATTGTAATTGGTCATAGTCTATAAATATCAAACATGTTTAAATTCACTATTATTATACATATGTAAATGGAGACTAGTGTGAGAAATTATTCAGTAACATTTAAGTCAGATGTGCTAAGTTCCTAGAGGAGAAATAAGAGTTGGTCCTTTGCTGGTTTCAGCAATAACTGATTATCCACTTTCTTCAGAAATAGACCACCTCCTCTGTAAGTTGACTACCCTAGTATTTGTAACTCTGCAATTCTATTGACAGATGAGGATTCTAGGGACGTTGGTGGAAAAGCCCCGGAGACATACTCAAGAATGGCCAGGGAGGGGTGCCATCATCACACAAAGATTAAAATAATTTCATTCAATACTTAATTTTTTATCTGTTCAAAAAGCTCTATGACGTACTTTAGCATTTTTCTTCTTGAGACCTTTTGGCACTAAGTAATATGGAAGATGGGTAGTGAAGATTCGCGGTGATGGCATTTTGACAAAGTCTAAATTATGAATATTGTACTCAAAGAAGGGTGCTCTGTCCACTGTTTCCATGTTTTCAGTGCTGTTCCGGTGGCCCTCAAAATAAATCAAGCTGAGGATGTGTTGAGTCCAGATGGTACCTGCAAAAATACACAGCAATTCTGATGTCAATTCTTAGGTAGGTTTAAGTAATTTTCACCTGTGGTAATTTCATCCATTTTTGAGCCATTGATGCTTTTTTAACATTCTATGTATGCTAACAAGAAAGTGCAATTTTGTTTGATTTTTAACTATATTTAGCAATAACATTAGAAATGATAAAATAAAGGGCTCTAAGTTTCTTTTTTAATAGTATAGTTGTTTTGTTCTGATTTCTTGATAGTGATTATTCAAATTATTCCTATAGCTTCTCTGTATTCTGTGTTCTATGAGAAGTCTTTTTTGCAATATTTCAAACTTCTAGTTGGGAAATTGTATTTATAGATTAATGGCTACCCTCTTATGAATCCACACACATGCATACTGCTAAAATCATGTAAGGTCAAACAGCATTGACTTCACTAACTATTTTCTGCTGGAGCTTTCTTGATCTTCATGATACTGTTTCCAGGGTGTTGGACACCTTTTACTGTGTGTTACAGGAAGTACTCTTCCTTTCTGTGATTTCTTACAAGTTTGCTATCACAATTTTAGAAAACTTAACAAACATGAAGTGCATTCCATTTCTTCCTTTCTGTGTTTCTTTGCCCAACCCTGTGTTTCCATGTTCCCATGAACGGATTATGAATACATTGTAGTTTACTTACTGATTCTCAGCTTAGTAACCATTCAAGTAAAATAACTACAATGAAACTCTTTGAGAAATACATATAAACACCCAATCCTATTTCCACTTCAAAAGAATCTCAATGGGTGTGATCAACCTTTGTTGAGATATGTTCATTTTCTGAGTATGTGGTTCAGGTGAGTCATGATCATCTGGGGATTCTCCTGTCTCTGTCTCCTACCTCACCAGGAAGGTCAAAATTACAGACACATATTACCACATCTGGCCTGCACGTGTTCAATTGATCCCCACTCAGGTCCTCAAGCTTGCAAGACCAAGACATACACTTTGCACACTGACCCATCAACTCAGCCTTGAAAAGATTTTCTGACCAAACCATGTACAATCCTATTGTCTATAGTGTTTGTCAACAGCCACAGAGGAACTAATTTTTAAAATGGCATGTGACATTTTCAGGACCGATTTTTTTCTCTTAAAGTTTATCAACCACATTATAAGCACAAATGAAGACCTCCAAGGGCTGACCCTGGTGACTCAGAAGTCACCATAGACATAGGATTTTCCAGTCCCCAGCAGGACACCACTGCTCCAGCACTGCTCTGTATTGATGAACTTCACACTCAAGAAAATGTGTGTGGGTGCATGTACTTGCATGTACATGCTGGTGAGTGCAAGAGCTTCTTAAGCTGTAAAAAGTAGACCTCAGTTCCTGTTGAATACTTTAAAGTAAGTGATATATGGTAAAAAAAATCCATCCTGAATGCCGAAGCATTTTCATATTTGCAAATTCAGGAGAAATTATTTCAGACTATGTCATCCCAGTCCAACAGACCAAACAGGTAATCGCTCACCAAATGTCTGCATTTGGTTCTCTGTTGCACATCTCATTATCATAACATTTCTACCTCCCACCAGAGTACACACTGCATTCTCTGATGGCAGCCTTCTCTCCTACAGCTTGGGGTTTCCTTTAGGTTTTATCTGATCATAAATTGTTATGCAAACATAGGTTTGCTACTCCTGGTGCTGGACTGGGGCCATATTGGTACACATAATACCAAATCAAAGGAAATGTTAAGAAAGAGCACATGGTGAACTCCTGGTACTTACCAGATTTTGGATATGTGATTATGAAGACATCGTCATCTCTAATTTCAAAGTCTTCCATAGTTTCTAAGTGTTCGATGTTCACAATGCTTTTCCCAAAATTATATCCTTTAAATTTAAGTAAGTATTCATTTGTCTTATCCATAATTATTTGCCTAGAAGTATATAAACAGAATACATTTCTGGGAGATCAATATATGTCAAGTCCCATTTAAATATCTTATGTGTATAAATATTTGCTGTGACAAATTACATAGATCACATTATCTAAATTTCATAATACTTCAATGATGTTGATTTTTTAAATCACATCATTAAATATGAGGAAAAGAAGATAAAAAGTTAAGTACATTCTCCTGTAATTCCCTGGGAGAAGAATTATAACAAATTTAAACATACAGATGAGGAAATAGGGTTATATATATCTCAACCAATTTATTCAAGGTTACCCAGCTAGCCACCCTCAGAGGATTGAGCACAGAGTACATGTGGATAATCTAGAATATTTTGTGTTTCTCTTACCTGCATATTTTCATTCTTACAAAAATAAGAAACTCTCCAAGGTGTGCTTTCATATTTAATTTAGAGTTTGGATTACCTGCTTTGTCAAAATGAGGCTTCTGCAGATTGTCTATTGAGTGGCTCTTGAAATAAGCAACACCAGAATTTGTACTTCTGAAAGTAACTTACAGCTACAGTAACTTATAGATATAGTTATAGTAGCATATAGTTGCAAGGTCAGCTATTAAACTTTTCATCACTTTAATTTCCAACCAAATAATCTAACATTAGTTTAAGTAATAAAGGAACACAAGATATAAATCAAACAATCTCAAGACAAATCTGATCTTATCAAAGTTTGATCAAGTCAAATATCTCTACTGGATCTGCCAGAGAACTCTCTACTTGAAGGTTAAAATGGCCAGTGAATGCCCACAGTTCTTATATTTTTGATTGTGAGCCTAGCCTTCAAAAGCTGAGCCCAATGCCCACAGTTCTGATAGTTCCTTAGCACTAGTACACTTCCCCCCAATTGTTAGTTTTTTAAAATCCTGTCACCAAGAGATTCAATTTAATAAAATCTGATAATATAGCATTAACTAAATATCATTCCAATAATCAACACTCAATATTATGTTTGGATGATTTGAGTAAGAACTCTCCATACAGTTGAGGAGGCTGGCCCAGAACTCAGTATGTAGAACAGGTTAGCCTCAAATTGCATGAATGATATTGCCAGTATTGGGATTACATTCTTATGAAAAATGCCTGACTGATTTCTTTACAGATAGGAAATCACATAATGAGAATCACTTGGGTGAACCTCTGTGGGCTATATACCACAAAGTAAGATGTCTAATTGAGACCCTCATGCCTTGCAGGTTCAGGAACTGACAGCTCAAGTCCAAGTATCCTGACCACAGAGCTCTGGAAATTAAAAGGTTGGAGTGAAGGAACACACACACACACACACACACACACACACACACACACACACACACAGAGTAATTTCTGTGGAGGTAGATGACACTGGTATTGAAAAAGAAAACTTAAATGTATCCTTTGGAGTGTGCTGAAGAAAATACACAGCACAAAACACTGATCAATGGAGAGTCCATTCATAGAGACTTTTGTTGAAGTGCAGAGAAAACGGAAGTGAGTAACTCTAACATCTCACCACACCAACAATACTGTCCATACACGCTCTAGACAGTCACTATGCCTCCCATTCTGACCTTCCTGGATAAGAGTCTCAGAATGCCTCTGTAAGCACACTGAATGAAATTTTCACTTGTTTATTGTGTTCAGTCACCCACCTGGGCTGTCTTTTATAAGAAAGATGGGGAGCAGAGGAGGCAGAGACAGGGGAGTAAGGGAGAGAGAGAGACAGAAACAGAAAGACACAGAGAGAGACAGAGAGACAGACAGACACACACACACAGAGATAGATAGATAGATAGAGAGAGAGAGAGAGAGAGAGAGAGAGAGAGAGAGAGAGAGAGAGAGAATTTCATTCTCTAAAGCAAGGAAAGAGGGTATGAAGAAGGTTCATTATGGAAATGGACTTCAGAGGATTTTAGTGACAGTAGGAAAAATGATTATATAAGGAGAAAGCATATATAGGTTTCCTTGATATTTTTGCATTGAATCTTAAGAAAAGGAGGAAAACAAAATTAATAAGAAAAAACTATTGAGACAAGGTCTCTGTATGTAGCCCTGGCTGGCTTGGAACTCACTATATAGACCAAGCTCATCTTCAACTCACGAATATCTACGTCCTTATGTCTCCAGAGTGCTGGGAATAGAGTCATGTACCACCACACTCAGACCACAAAAAGATTATATATATATATATATATAATCAAAAGATATATATATATATATATCAAAAGAGAGGGAAATCTTTGGTAGTATCTAAATCTAGTCTTTTCTACTCACAGTTTGCAGAGAAATGGAAGAAGCAAAACCAGTTCTGATGGAATGTTTAGGAAAGCAGAAATTGATGGTTGCTGAGGTATAAATATTCCCTTCCACGTTTTTTCTTGGCCAATAGAAGTGTTCTAGGAAAAGTAAACTGAATTCAGCAGGGATACGTGAGTAAGGTTTGCTGGCACTAGGAAAGTCTTATCAGATGTTTTCAGGCACATGAAATAAGTTAAACATTAAGAGAGTATAGTTAAAGTTGACAGATCTGGAAGATAAATTTCACATTTACTTAATCATGAGGATTATCATGCAAGCCACAAGTTATATTTGACACCTACAACTACAACTTGCTTAGATAAATTCTGGAACATGATGGTAACTAAATCCTTTTAAGGATATCTGAGTGGGTAGTCTCAATTTTTCATGGCTTTATTGCTCTTTTCTTTATCCCTGTTTGTCCTGTTAGTGATTTTTGTTCCTTTGTTGTTGTTGTTTCCTTTTTTTCAACTTGACACAAGCTACACCATCTAATGGTAGGAAACCTCAGTTGAGGCCTCATCAAGTCTACCTGAAGGGGAGTTTGTGTGGCATTTTCTCAATTAATGACTGATGTAAGGAGCTGAGTCTACTGCGGGTGATGCCACCCCTGGGTGGATTGTGCTGGGTTGTTCAAAAAAGCACACTAAGCAAGCCATGCAAAGAAAGCCAGTCAGCAGCAATTCTCCATAGCTTCTGCTTCAGGTCCTGGCCCCAGGTTGCTGACTTTGATATCTTGCCCAGACTTCCCTTCATAATGGGGGATAAGCTGTTCGGTAAAATAAACTCTTTCCTGCCCAAGTTGCTTTTGGTCATGATTTTATCACAGCAACAGAGAGAAAACTATGTCACCATCTGTGCTGGCTGGTTTTGTGTCAACTTGACACAAACCAGAGTTATCTGAAAGGATGGAACTTCAATTAATAAAATGCTTCCAAAAGGTCAGGCTCTAAAACATTTTCTTAATTAGTGGTTTATGGGGAGCCCATTGTGAGTTGTGTCATCTCTGGGCTGGTGGTCCTATGTTCTATAAGAAAGTAGGCTAAGCAAGCCATAGAGAGGATGCTAGTTGGCAGCACTTCTCAATGATCTGTGCATCAAATCCTGTATCCAGTTCCTACCCTGTCTGAGTTCCTGTCCTGACTTCCTTCCATGATGAACAGTGATGTGGAAGTGTGTGCCAAATAAACCCTATCCTTCCCAAGTTGATTTGGTCATGGTATTTCATCAACAGCAACAGTATCCCTAGCTGAGACACCATCCTCCTGTTAATTTCACCTAGTCTATTTCCACCATTGCAAAAACAGATCACACCAATGAAGGTTCCATTCATTTTATAAAATCATTTCATATTTTAATTTTTTCCAATCCCTTTGGAGAATCATTCATATTGTCGTTGTTCTAACCCTGCTCCTCTTTTTAAATGTAGATATTACCTACCTTTGGCTTTCTACAAGAATGAGCTGGTTTTTACCATCTTCTCTCGTCTCTTCGCTCATTTTTCAGCCCTCTGTTTCCCACATGCACTGCTGTTAGGTAATGATTCTCAGGTTCCCACAAAACATAGAATTTGACCCCAGGAGAGAATATTAATCTGCTCATTGTACAAATCTTTCCTGGTAAGAGAATAGAACATAATCTAAGGGTAATTTAAACTTCTAAACATTGAGCTTGTCCCATTGTACATAATGTTTTCAACGAAGGAAATATTTGTAAAATAATACAGGCTGTGAGGAAAGCATAGTGCAAAATATGGGTATGAATGGGAGAAAACTACTTACTAAAATGAAAAGCTGAGCCATGACTTTCTGAACTGTCATTGAACTGGATGCCTCCAGGGTCTTAGAAGATGTATAGATCTCATGAACACGGAGAGGATAGAGGAGAGGGAGACAATACACCTGGAACAAAATGCAAACAATATGTGATATTACAGCTAGTGGGCAGTACAACAAATTCCTTTTTTCACTCATGGGACTTTACTGAAGTTTGAAAATATAGGGAGATAAATAAATTTAGCCCAGTCCATGAGAAATTATTTGCAATAAATATAAACAAAACAAAAAACTGAGATTCATTATTTATGGAGAATTGCTTCAAATGAGTAAGAAAAAACAGCTCCATAAGAAAGGGAGCAAAGATTGTGACTAGGTAAACATACAAAATAAATGTCAGTGAGTATTAAGATTTACACTGATCTTTCTCTTTAATAATCATAGGAATACAAGTTAAAATGCACCATAGACTGATTCTATAACTTTATTATGGTGAATAATGCATCAAAGACAAGGATATGCCAGTATCACTGTGACACAGTCTCTGAAAGGTCCTAGGCTATATACTCAAGAGGGTGGCTGAGTGAATAGTCATTTTTGGTTTTAGTTTTTTGTGGATTCACCATACCTATTTTCACAGTTGCTGTATCACTTTCCACTCCCATTAGCAGCATGTATGGGGTGTTCTTCTGACATCCTTATCAGCACTTGTGCTTATTTCTTTCCTTTATGACATCCGTTCTGACCAGAACCTTGTGGAATGTTAGCATTGTTTTCGTTTGTAGTTCCCTGATGATTTAAATATTCACATTGTCAAAAATTCATATGTTTCTTAGTCCTTTGATGGGAGAGAAGAAGAAAGAAGTGGTAGGAGAGTGGTGAATAGGTCAATATATACAATATACTTGAAAGAATTTTTTGTGAAATACAGTGTAATGTACAATGAGTGTAAAGCAATAAAAGTATTTTAAAGGCTTGGTAGCTATTGAAACATCATATTTCCCATACAGATTATGACTTATCTATACATAGAATCTTGGCCCCAATGACAGTGCCAGGTATGAATTGTACATTTTGTGGAGTGGACCTTAAATCCAATGAGAAAGTGGTTGGTTCTTCCTATAATATTAATGCCACTGTTGCACAGGTGGCCATGTCTTGTCAGGGCAGTCATTACAATAGCTTGAAGGGTTTGTGATTATTTTTCTCCTCCAATATCATGTGTAGAATTTTCTAATATTGTGAAAGCTACCCACTAGGGATGAAGCTTCCAGATGAGTAACAGATTGATTTCTCAATATTTTGTTATCAAGTGTATGGTATCTTCAGGAATTGAGTCTTACTGTCCAGTTCTGGAGGGTCATGAAGAGCATAGTCAATACCCTGTAATGTTTGGTGGCTGCCTATGGAACCTCACCGCTCAAAAACTCCTCCAAACAGGTAACCCTTCCCAGCAATGGACATTTTATTTGTTAGTCTGTAGTGTCTGCTGTGGACATTTTTACCGAATTATAGGGTGATGGGGGAAGTCCTTCTGTGTATATGTAAATAAAACACTGTTGGCCAATAGGGAAGCAAGATAGGTAGAACTAGGAGTAGGAGGATTCTGTGAAATGTAGTCAACAGGAAGGAGTAGCCATGTGATCCTGGGGAAGAGAGGTTGAGTCAGGATACCGTCCTTGGAAAGATAAGTCCTTATAGAAATATATATTAGTGGTCATGGGTTAATACTTAAGACAGAACTAGCCAATGAGAAGCCCTGGACATTGGCCAACAGTATTGTAACTAATAGAGTCTCTGTGTGTTATTTTGGGGGCTAAAGTAGCAACGGAACCTGGACAGGAATCCTGCAACAATAGGGTAACTCCATTTAAACTTTTTTTTATATGTGTGTGTACGTATATTTTAGGAAGCCTCTACAGTTGTAAGTTTCCATATGAATTTTTAAAAATGTCTTTAGCAATATTTATCCCTCCCTGTTTTTCCTCTTTTACCTTGTCATGATACCTCTCACCCCATTTAATCCTTTAATTTTCTTTATTCTTTTTTATCTCTTTATACCTAGATATCTTATCCCCTCCATTGAAAGTGCACCCAGCCACTTACTAATTTTCTGACTTTTATGGGTATGCCAAGAGAAACACACATAACTGAAGATTCAACATTAATATTCACAAATGATAGAAACCACTAAATATTTGTCTTTCTAGTTCTGAGATACCTCACTCAGAATGCCTGTTTCTGTCTCATTCCATAACTGACAGTATGACTGGGGCTAAAAGCCTATGCCTTGACAAGTTAGAGGTCCTAGGGGAGAACCTAGTACTAAACATTCATTTATTCTACTAAGGGAACACAGTATCAAATCAACTTCTAAAACCTTCTCATTATACACAGAGGTAAGTGTTGCAGGATATTTGATCAGACTGTGAACCCAGATATTTCATTATTTGCTGGAAAAATCTGCTTCTAGCTGTGGTGCGGTTCAGCCTTAGCACACACCTTTAATTCAAGAGCTTTTTGTCTGAATATTGTAAACATGACTAAAAAAATCCACCATAGGTCAGGAGGTGGAGCATGCACATAGTTGACATGAAAAAACCATAGAGTGTAAGAGGTCGTCAAGAGGATGGGGAGAAAGAGGTGTACAGGAGGTTGAAGGGAGGGACATCTAGCTGGAAAAGTTTTTGTTTGAGATGGCATGGGAGAAATCTCTCTTTCTGGGAAAATAGTGAAGGAGGAACCAGATGTGTGCTGTCACTGCCTCTCTGAGCTAGCAGGTTTTTACCCCAGCATCTGGCTTCCAAGTCTTTATTGATTTTGAACTATAGAGGCTTAGTTAAAAACAACAGATACATACACCTCTCGACCCTCACCAGAGGAGATCCTTTCTGCAGTCAATGGTGATTAACACAGAGACCCACAACTTGCCAAGGTGAAGAGAATAAGAGACTGGTATGCTTAGCTCTCTATGGGTTTTCTATATCACATCCCCTTCTCCCCAGGTTTAATGAACATTGAAAAAAGAAGGGGCAGAAAATGTAAAATCTAGAAGCAATGGATCACTACAATGAAACTTTTCTGGGTACAACAGAGGAGTTAAACATAGGAAGTGATGGTGGTTGTGACAGCCTGCACATGACCTGTACAAGCTTAAGTCAGACAAAATCCCAGCATAAAGAGGGAAGGTAGGCACGGAGTCCCATTCCTAACTGTGAGGAGCTCCTGGAAACTGACAGATCCTGGGAGAGGGAGAGTTAGTTTTCTTCAGTGGTATTGCTCTTGGCAGGCTGACCATGTTCTAGTGGATATCCACATACTCAAGAATATATAGGCAGCACATACTGGACTTAACATATTTTAAAAATCAGGATACAAAGTTGGATGAATTGGTAAGAGGATGTGGATCTGGAAGAAGCTGGGAAGGGGAATGAACATGATCAAAACACATTATACCCCTAACAATATAGGCTATTTCAGTTGCTCTTGGTTCCCCCCAGCGACTAAAGGTGAGTCCCCATTGCTGAAGATACCATGTACTTTGGACACAGGATTCAGAAGTCCAAGCTAAATCTGACCTGAAAGCTTACACCGATAATAATAAATAACTACCTCAGTCTTCCTGCTCCAGAAGATGCAGCCTCTGCTCTTTCAATGCTCTCTGCAACTCAAGAGAACCTGAGCCAGCCCCTCCTCTACCTTATAATGGGTCACGTCTGCACCTGAAACCACATCCAAAAGGTGTGACCACCACTACAAGTTCACTGACAAGGCAAGATGCCACTACAGAAGAGTGCAGTAATAGATCTTAGAGAGGAACTTAAAATCAGTACTTATTTACTAAATTAGTATAATTCCTATCTTCATTCTAAATATTTGTCCTTATAATTGTAGTTCTGACTCCTCATCAAAGAAATTTCTCTTTGCAATAGGTGGAGCCTATTGCGGAAAACACATTTGGTCAAAATGCAGAGAATCATGGGGTGCTCAGCCCCACTGGTCACATCTACAAGACAACTTCTGCATCTAAGGCTCGGGATGTATCGTGAAAGGAGTGGAAAAACTGTAAGAGCAAAAGGACTGGGAAATCCGATATGAGATTGTACATCCTTTCAGATAAGGCAGGACAGCTACACCTATGACAGCTCAGCATGACCCCCTCAGCAAGATCTGAACAATATACAACACCGACAGACATACTAACATGGGAGGGGGAAACCTCACGTGGCTGCACACCTAAACAAAGAACTAGAAGCAACTCATGAATGCTGAGAGTGGGGAATAGTCTTCCCCAGGAATGGGCCCCTCATGAATAGTCTTCCCCAGGAATGAGCCCCTCATGAATAGTCTTCCCCAGGAATGAGCCCCTCATGAATAGTCTTCCCCAGGAATGAGCCCCTCATGAATAGTCTTCCCCAGGAATGGGCCCCTCATGAATAGTCTTCCCCAGGAATGGGCCCTTCATGAATAGTCTTCCCCAGGAATGGGCCCCTCATGAATAGTCTTCCCCAGGAATGGGCCCCTCATGGGGCTGAAACCTAAAACTAGTTGGTCAGCCCTGAAATCCTATATGTACAAGTCAGAATACACAAACTGAGAAAAGTATATTTACATATTTATGCATTTTATATATCATATAATATGCATATATGTAACAATGACAATTGAATACAAAGAAGACATAAGTTTGAAGAGGGCTAGAAGGAGGAAAGGGAAGGGGATAATTATATTTTAATTTCAAAATATTTGAAGAAACAAAAAATAAAACTATATACAAAAATAAAAATAATAGTATAGGGCAAGCCCAGCTTCAGGTGAGCTTGGGTCTGGTGGGGGGGCACACTCCCCATCCCCTGCCCAACACCCATGCCCTCGAGCTTCCGGGGGCCGCTCCTGGAATCCAGAAGACCCGCCCACACAGGAAAGACACCACACTTCCAGGACCCAAACTACAGCGAGCCCAGCTTCAGGTGAGCTTGGGTCGGGGGGGGGGACACTCTCCATCCTCTGCCCAACACCTATCGCCTCGATCTTCCGGGGCCACTTCTTGGCATCGAGAAGACCCACCCACACAGGAAAGACATCAGCCCTTCCAGGCCCCAAACTCTGGCGAGCCCAGCTTCAGGTGAGCTTGGGTCTGGGGGGGTCACGGGGGACGGGACACTCCCCATCCTCCGCCCAACACCCATCCCCTTGATCTTCTGGGGCCCGCTCCTGGCATCCAGAAGACCTGCCCTCACAGGAAAGACATCAGCCCTTCCAGGCCCCAAACTCTGGCGAGCCCAGCTTCAGGTGAGCTTGGGTCTGGGGGGGGCACGGGAGACGGGATACTCCCTATCCTCCGCCCAACACCCATCCCCTTGATCTTCTGGGGCCCGCTCCTGGCATCCAGAAGACCCGCCCTCACAGGAAAGACATCAGCCCTTCCAGGCCCCAAACTCTGGCAATCCCAGCTTCAGCTTAAGCTTCAGTGTCAGCATCCGCAGTTTCAGCTTCAGGAAGGAAGGAGACCAGTGGAGACAGAAAGACCCCACCAGCACCCACTGGAAGAAGAGTTGGAAACAAGACAGAATAAGAGCTCACACTCAGCAATAGAAAGACCAACATGACTGCACCAGAATCTAGGGAACCAACACCAGCAAGACCTGAAGAACACTACATAGACAAAGCAGAGGAGACAGACCTTAAACATTATTTTATGAAGATGATAGAGACCCTCAAAGAAGAAACGAGGAAATTCCTTGAGGAAATAGAAGAAAAAACAAAAAAATCCATGAAATGGGGGAAAAATTCAAGAACTAAACAAATCTCTCAAAGAATCTAAAGCATACC